AAAAAGAAGGAAGCCATGGAAAAACTCGGTGCAGACGCATTTTTAAACAGTCGTGATCCTCAGCAGATGCAGGTAATTAATGATTGGAATTGTGTTGTTCTGAGGATTTTGTTACCAAATGATGTATAGGTCTTGCAAGTTGCAACATAACCAATTTATTAAGACGAATTGTGTTTCATCTATGACTGATTGTATGAGCAGGCTGCAGCTGGTACCATGGATGGAATTATTGATACCGTTTCTGCTGTCCACCCCGTTGTTCCATTGATCAATTTGGTGAAGCCTCACGGGAAGGTTGTCATGGTTGGTGCGCCTGAAAAACCTCTTGAATTTTCCACATTTCCTCTCATAGTGGGTAAGGATTTGTCTTTTTCTTTTCTTCCTCTCTGCTGGCCTCCCCCAATCACCGATAATTGGACCTGTGTCTAACTTGCAAAAATATGAATGAACAGGCAGGAAGACTCTTTCTGGTAGTTGCATTGGTGGTCTAAAGGAAACCCAAGAAATGATAGATTTTGCAGCAAAGCACAACATCTTAGCAGATGTTGAGGTCATCCCAATAGACTATGTCAACACTGCAATGGCGCGCCTGCTGAAAGCTGATGTCAAGTACCGATTTGTAATCGACATTGGGAGTTCATTGAAATCAGCTTAAAATTGCTGGTCTCGCTCTTTTTAAAATAAAATAAATAAAATTGTGGGAGTGTACTTCCCTGTTACCTCTATTTTTTGCCGGGTTGATAGGAGATTTATGTTTCTGTTAGCCGAAGGCAGTGTATTATTTGTTCTGAGGGGAAGCTTTTGTTTTGATGTACTTGAAAACTGGTATCTTCCGAGTCTCAGTGGTAACAACCTTAGTTGTTCTGGTCTTTTATTGTAATAGGCATCTTACTTCTCTGTTTTGGTGGAACATGTGCATCTTCCCTTCATAATGTTTTTAATGAAGATCACTATGTATTAGCACCAAAAAAATTTTAAAAAAACACGCACAACGGAAGCAATTTTGACATATACGAAAATATATGGGAAGAGAAGAAGAATAAATACACAATAATAACTCAATAATTTTGCTAACTCAAAATCCAATAATAACAATATCAAGTCATAGTTTTTTTTATCATGATAACTCATAAATCTCAATTTAGAAACTTTTTCTTAAACTTACTCATGAAGACTCAATTCAACCCTCCAAAACCCAACTCAATTCTTTGAGGAACAATATATTAGACTAGTAATTATTGAGTACAAAACTTCGTAAACAGGCACAATTGTAAACCAAAACTTATTTGGACTTAAATTTGACTGTCCTTTAAACAACTTAAACATAAGAAAAGGAAACTCCACGGAATTTCACAAAACCTCCACTGAGGTTTCTGACTATTTTACTTAGTTCTCTTAAAATTTTGAAAATTATACTTATCTCTTTTGATTTGACATTTTGGTAACCAAACCTTAAAATAGGGTCAAAAATTTAATAAATACCCTTAAATGCCCTTATCTTATAAAGTTTAATTTGTTCTTCTAAATAATTGTAAAGTAATTTGGCACAATTATATATATATAAAAAAAAGAGTTTCAAATTTTTCATGCCAATATTTGTTATTTGATAATCAACTATAAAAACAAATCTTTTGTAATAATAGGCTATTTTTTATAGTGCTTTGTTGTCTTATTCAGATTCTTTTTAAGATAGACAAAAAAGTAGTGTTATCTTTTTTCTTTAAGTTTATGGACTGTTTTTTTGATAAAAGTTCATGGACTGGTTCGGTAATGGAACTACCACAGTTTGGTAGTGATTTTGGGCCATTTGTTTTTAATTATTCTTGATTGTAAATACCCTTAAATGCCCTTACCCTTAAATGCCCTTATCTTATAAAGTTTAATTTGTTCTTCTAAATAATTGTAAAGTAATTTGGCACAATTATATATATATAAAAAAAAGAGTTTCAAGTTTTTCATGCCAATATTTGTTATTTGATAATCAACTATAAAAACAAATCTTTTGTAATAATAGGCTATTTTTTATAGTGCTTTGTTGGGGATGCAGATTCTTTTTAAGATAGACAAAAAAGTAGTGTTATCTTTTTTCTTTAAGTTTATGGACTATTTTTTTTTTTTTATAAAAGTTCATGGACTGGTTTAGTAATGGAACTACCACAGTTTGGTAGTGATTTTGGGCCATTTGTTTTTAATTATTCTTGATTGTGACACAAAAAATGTCACTAAAAAAATTAGATGATATTAAAAACTATCAAAAAATATTACTAGTTTAACGTTTGATGTAGAAAGATATTGCAGATAACATTGATAGTTCTTCTATACTTCTAATGAAATATTAGAGAAATGAATAAGAAGGAAAAGGGGAAAAATTATAAAATCCATCCTTTGTACAAAACATGACAACAAGGGAGTTTTATTAAAATATTAAGGTTCGTATTACCATTTTAAACGGACAAGAGAGGTAGATATAATTTCTGAAACCTTAAGGGAGTCAAATGAAATTATTAAAAATCTCAAGGAAGGTTTCTGAAATTGTCCCAATCAAATTTGTACTAGGACACATAACCAAATAAACTAATAATGCTTGGTTTAAAATATTCTAACACTATGGATTACCCGTTGTTTTCTAGTTTACTGCTTTTGTCATGAATTCTTCTGTTTTATGGTTAAGTAGAAGTGTTACAAACTATGTTTTGCCTATGTGACCAGCATATTGCTATGATATGGTAGTGGCGTCCCGGGATCTAGTCACAAGCAGTAATTGGTAACTCGTCTGAGATGAATGGAGATTGTCTTCCGATGCTTTGACGCACCTCAAACTATTATATTAGGAAAAATATATAACATCGTCCCAGCAGATTCAGCGAACTCATCTTCATATTGATTCGCGAATGCCACTGGACGAAATTATTAGCACAAAAGCCATCTACGCTCTGTTGTCTGCCAATGAAACAAGATATTAGTAACTTGTCTAACCTTGATGCTCGGCATACGTACACTAGATATTAGTATATTATATACTTCAAATCTTTTAATTTTTTCTGAAATGTACAAGTTTTTACATTCCTTTTGTTGTTGTATATAACTGTTGTTTCAACATGTATTAATTTTTTTTTTTTGGTTTTCTGGGCATTGTATCTCTTAGGTATTGCATTTTTATTGGGAATCTTAATGTTATGTATTATTTACGTATAAAGCAAATAGATAATGGGAGAAGAGGAATAAAATGAATAATAAAAATATTATTAACAAGACTCAACTCTTCGCCTTCATAAACTCAACAAAATAAATAGATATCCTATGCATAGTAAACATGGCTTAATAAATAAGAAACAATTACTACAGCAAATTACATAATATTAGATCCAAATTAGTAAATAAGAAAACTTCAGAAAACTTAACTTGATCCAAAAAACTGCTAAACAATAATATAAAAAACTTCTCAATTATTACTTTTGATTTAATATGTCAACATTTTCAAAACGTGCTTATACTTTCTTTTTTTTTTTCCGAAACATTAGATAATTTCATTGATATGTTGTAAACTATATAATTGTTGAGCAAAGGCCCAAATTGACTTTACAAGTGCATCTTGGCACTGGGAGTGTAGCCACCCTTCATCAAAAGAAATGCTTAATACATGCATGCTAACTAAATCAACCCTTTCGCCCGTTAAGTTAGTGGACAAAATGAATGAGCATTCCATAAACATTGAGCACAAATTTCTGATGTCCTCCAAGTGAGAGTGCATTGCCATGTCTTTGGAATTAATGGTTTGGATCATTTTCAGCAACTGTTTCTGTTTAATCTTGATCCGAATCTTCTTCCATTCCTTCTCTCTTGCCTTACATAATGCTAACTTAACAGCCACTCCTTGGTTCCTGAGTTTGTTACCATCAGTAGCTCCTTTGAATGCCCACTGAGCAAGAATTCATGTCTTTGAATGCCCCTTGAGCAAGAATTTGTTCGTTATACAAGGATTTTGAATTTGTCTGGAGCAAAATGTAACAACCTGAGTAGTTCCCCTCTTTCAATGTGACAGGCGACCTTCACGTACAAGCACTTTTAAAGATTGGGGGCTTAGGATCGTGAACTCAGAGTTCTAAATAAAAATTGTTCATCTGATCAATTAGTGAATATTTCCTATAACCTTTTTAACATTCCCTTTTCGATCGTATGTACTTGGATTGAAAATTTTCCTCGTTTTTCAATTCTTTATATTTCACTGACATTGCGTTTCTTTGGTGTTGCATGGATTCTGGATTTGTCAAGAAACAAAACTTAAGTTTGTTCTGAAAGCTTGCAGGGTTTTGGATTTTCTTTTCAAAACTTATTTATGTTTGAAGGTTTGAAAATAAAGTAACTGATATAATTACCTATGTAAATTTGTAGTATATAAGAAGGACAATGGTAAAACTTGGTACTAGCACTTTCCGAGAGTGCTGTCCTTTATCCATAATTTAATATTCAACATTATTTCTTAAACGTCATCAGATAAGTCATTAATGGCATATTTCGACCAAAAAACAAGTTTATTTTACAAAAGAAAATGAAAAAAAAAGAAGAAAAATAATAAGAGGCGGCTAAATTCACTTTCAGACAAGTCACCAGTCCGCCGTCTGGATCACCCGGAAGACCACAGGCAACAACATCAATCGACATGAAGAGATGTGTCATCATCCATGCAGATGTAAACATCAAACATTATAAAAAGTTGAATCTTAGAAACAAACTAGTCACAATTCAGAAGTCACCATACATTATCAAGCACTTAAATTACAAATGCATAAATTCAAGTAGACACAAACTTCAAAGGTTAATTATTTAAATAAACACACTTAACTAGTATCAAAAAAAAAAAATACCAAAGTAGCTACCAAATTGCTTATAATATACTAGGTGGCGACACCGCGCTGTGCGCGGTGGAATACATGCCCAGTTAATGTTTAGCTAGTAATGTTGGTGAGAATGAAAATTAGTGAAATACTAAACAGAGTAAAATTATTTGAGTAATATAGTTTTGTTATAAATATTGAATAGTCATCCGAAAGAGGTTCTAGTTCTACAGGCATTCTAAATACGAAAATCAAACAAGTTCAATTTTAGTCTTGAATGTTTAGGTTGTTGAAGCTGAGCTGATCAACGCCTAGAAAAGCATCCAAAAAGTATGAATTTATAATGCTGAACATAGTAGCTCGAGATAGCCTGAATGCAGCAGAGCCTAGAATCTAACAGATATCAACGCAAAGTTCCACCAAAATTCATCCGAAATTGAACAAGGCCATCGGGCAGATCAATAGCTTCTCCATCATCAATAAACATAGAATCGTTCACCTGTCCAAAAGACTCCAAATTAATCATAATCCAGACAAAAAATGAGGAAAAGGAAAGAATCTTGCAATACATGTATCTGAAAACAAAATTATTCCCACAAACTATTTTCTCAAAATGGCAATATGACCAAAAACGAACTGACATATGGACTCTTTCTCCACCGCTGGCCTATTTTCTAATCTGTAGGGAAGTGCACAAAGGATGAAAAGGTCACACATGCATTGCAACATAGCAAAGATTCTGTAACAATTACAGCAAAAGCACTAATATTTCAAGTTTTCCCTGTCCTCACTAATACGATAAACCTTCCATCATCTAACAACTTAGCCAAGGATGAACAGGCCTCTAGACTTGCTTTTAAAAGCATACACAGTGACCATGAATCTTGTAAGCAACTACCACCCTTGGAAAAAGATAAACTACTTTTACCCACTAAGATTATTCTCTAGCTCAGGTGTAACAGGTACTAATATATTATTCCAACTTATTCTTCAACTTTGAATGATCTAAGCATGTTTATTCAATGTTCTCTTCAATATATTCCTTCACTGCACATACTTTAAGCATGTTTGCATAAACCAATAGAACTAAGACTTGCACAAAAATGGACAAACCAAATATCTGCATCCAACGAAAGTGGAAACAAATGAAGCAAACTTGTGCCCGCAAGAGAAGAGCATCAAGTAAAGCTAAGTGAGCAGGGAGACATACTTCTTGTATATTCTTTCTATCTCCTCCACCACTCAAATCATGCCCAAGAATACAACCTGCAAGACTTGACCTGACATGTAAAGAGAACAAAAGGCTGAATTTGCATGAGATATAATTAATTCATAAAGTAAACTGTGAACCCAGCTTTAGCAACATCGGAGCCATCAGGAATCAGGGAACTAACACTATGGGAAAAGGCAATGATAAGAAAGATAGGAAAACAAAGAACTATTTCTACCAGAACTGCAAGATTGAGTTAGCAATTTCCCAATCTTCACGTGGAAAAGTAGAACAACTGCACGCATAGATAAGAAATCAGAAAATTACAAGTTAACATCAAACAAGGGACATTTTGCAGTGGAATTACGTAAGTATGCACTTTGCATGCCACAAGGGAGATGTACAGTACCCTAAATCTACTGAAATAGGTTCATATGGTCAAACATCTTCAACATTCATACTCCAATGATGTAATTGTTTGCCAATCTGGTTGTTTCATCCTTAATTACTAAGACAGTTCTGATTTTCAAAAAAAGTTACAATGTTGATGAGCAGGAGAAATGCAGAGAGCTTAAGTTAGCATTTTAAGGCTAATGCATCAAATTATGACCCACACACCTCTGGCTATGATACACATTATCTCCTTAAGCACATCATTGTCAAATGTTCAAGATCTAACCTCAACAGAGCATCCATGAGTATTACTGCCTCAGGACTTGCTTTCAAAATCAAAGATGGTGCCTAGGTACATCATATCAGAAAAAACCAGTTTAGGCCACATCAGACGAGCACTAGTACCACTCTATGATTTTATGAAATCTAAATTGGAATCAAGATTCTATAAGAAGCAAGCCATGAAGAAGGAAAACTCCTATTGAATAGAGAACTTCGAACACTTACTGTCTGACCAATTTCTGACATCAAGCAAGCAATATCAGCAATCACTTTCTCGTCTCCCGTATTAAGAGTTGGAAGAAAAAGCACTCCCTTTAGAAATCCAATTCTGCTTAACAAAGCTTGTGGCAAACCCTATGCAATAAAGGACGAGGAATTAGGATATAATACAGAAGTTCTTATTCAGGAAACTTGATTGTTTATACTCCCTAAATAAGCACGAAGAATAACTGCAGTGGAATCAAAACAGTATAGCTAAAGAATTGCAAGAACAACTCTCCCTTGTTTTGTCAGTAAGGTTGCTATGTTCCCCAATATAATAATCTCCCATGGTAAAATAAACTGATAATATTTCGTACACATGATCTTAGTTTAAACGCTGCATTTTCTAGAATCATGTAACAGCTATTATATTAGTATATATTTTTTACTCTTTTCTTTCAGCTTCACTAAAAAAGGCCTTAACCATCTTCTGACGTCTCCCATAGTGGTGTTGGCAAGAAGGTAGCAAGAAGAAATATGTTAGTCTTCTCGTGAATTTAGACATGATGGATGGATTTGTTTTGCGTACAACATTCATATAGTGCACAATGGCACTTGAAGAATTAAAAAGGAGATTCCGCACAGGAATAAGATTGTTCAACAGTTTTGCTCTCCAATTCTGCATCTTACACTACTTCTGCAATGGAGTTGTTTGATGCATCTGATGCTCAAGGTTAAGCTATTCGAATAGCCCAATGAACTTTATGAAATTAAGAATCTCAAACCTGATAGTACCTTTAAATGGAAGCAATACTATCTACTCAACATCTATGATCTTTTACTGGAAACAATTATCTTGATTTAGTAAAGATTTCTTTATGACGATAGACACTTGGAGCTGTATAACCACGGTTAATTGTTAAGATTGTTCAACAGTTTTGCTCTCCAATTCTACATCTTACACTACTTCTGAAATGGAGTTGTTTGATGCATCTGATGCTCAAGGCTAAGCTATTCGAATAGCCCAATGAACTTTATGAAATTAAGAATCTCAAACCTGATAGTACCTTTAAATGGAAGCAATACTATCTACTCAACATCTATGATCTTTTACTGGAAACAATTATTTTGATTAGTAAAGATTTCTTTATGACAATAGACATTTGGAGCTGTATAACCACAGTTAATTGTTGAAATAATATGCCATCTAGTTCATACAAAAATCTGTTTTTTGCATTACCAGAACTTATTTATCACAAAATAGAAATAATAAGTCAAGACTGCAAAGAACTAATATTTTCAACCAATATAAGAGGAAAGAAAAAATTCATAAAATATACTGAAAAATCATATTGAGAAAATCAAACAGGTAATAGAAGATCAAGAAACAGCAATAAAGAAATGACAAACATAAAAACTTACGTTTTGGACAGAGCATAAAAAATGCTCTGAGCTTCAGCTGTAACAGCAATCCTAAATCTTTCAGCCTCTAACTCAGCTTGCCTGAAAAATGCTACTTATAAAATCAACCACAATAATCACAAAATAGTCCAAATCCACAACTTGGTCAGAAATTAAAATAAAAAATTCGAAATACGTAATAGCAGAGTCTTCTCTGGCTTGAAGATTATTAAGATCAATAAAAACATTTCTTGAGATCAAGAGGGTCTTCACTTTGACCCAAAAAGGTAAACTCCTTGATGTAATTGGCTTTCAATAGCCTAATATTCCTGTTTGGCCTTGACCCAAAATGTATTCCTTCTTGTATTTCTCAAATCCAAAGTTAAAGAATTTCAAAACCCACAAGAAAAATTACCAATTCATAATAAATACTGTAAATGCATGCGAAAATACTGAGAAGAAAAAATGAAACTTTTTAAGGGAAAATCTTGATAAAACAGGAGTAGAAGGATATTAAGAGCAAGTATGTTGGATGAGCGGTCAAAGGTCAAGACTTGGCCTTGAAATTCTTCTCCAATAGGGGTCTTGATGGAGGGTATGCATCCTATTGTGAAATCTTTGTTACTGTTATGAGCTTCCATGGATTTAGGCTTATCTTCTTTTCGGCTTGTATTTCAGCTGATTTGAGGTTTTGTAATGGAGCACCAGTTTCTGAAGAGGAGAGACAGAAGAGAAGGAAAAAAATGAGGGAACTCAAAAGATAAGACTAAACCTATCGCCCAAAAGAAAATTCATGTGGTGTGGAAACTGGAAAGGAAGGGAAAAAAAAAAGGAAAAGAAAATGAATGACAAAGAAGATAGACCACAATGGGTGCTCTACAAAGGTACAACCAATCCCTCTTAGCATCCGAAAGATATAAAAATAGAAATCGCGCAGGCATTTCTCTGCGAGTAGGCAGAACCGCAGAAGGCAATATAAAGTCGCACACAAAGGATCACAAGAATACACATTGCAAAGCATCTAACCCAACAGAACAAAGGAAGAAGGAAATGGAGAAGTAACCGACAACAATAACAACAAGAACAGAAAAAGCACAACAGGCCGATGCGAAAGGAAGCAGAAAGGAAATTACCTGAAGTAATAGGCAAAGGAAAGCAGAAAGGACAAGCCAGAGGATCCAGCTGAAACGGCGCTGCATAAGTAATATGAGACGAAAATAAAAAAGATGTGGAAAAGAAACCGCATGAAAGACTAAGAAGCAGCTGCACAGAGGCACAAGCAACAGTAAGTATATTATGGTAAACTAAAGCAAAAAATAGTGTAAAAGCAACATATAAAAGGCATTTGGGGAAAATTATAGAAAATAAAAGATCAATTAAGAAAGGGAAATGCAAGGCAAAAGCCGGAGATCAGAGGGCGGGTCAAAGGAGGAAAGGGAGGGAAATGAAAAAAGGAGATAAAAGCAGCAGGAGAGGTTACCTGGCGCAGTGAAACGGGCAAGGAGGAGCAGCAGCAGCAATAGCAAAACAGGAACGAAAGAGCAAATGGCCGATTGTGGGGAGAGGCAAGGAGAAGAAACAACATGGTTCATGATGGCAGCCACCTAAACAGTCAACAGGCAAGAGGAGACAGTAGGTAGAGAAGACGCGAAAGGGGGCGAAAGGCACAGTAAGTTCCGAAGGGGAGTAGCTACAGAGTGGGGGGAGAGAGGGGAAAAGATGCGTGGACAAAGCAATATAGTACCAAAAAGAAGGTGAAGAGAAGACAGAGGAAGAAAGGGAAAGAAGAGCAATTTGTGGTGGAGAAAAACACTGACGGGCTCAACCTAACAGATGTAGAAAAGTACAGTGCAGTCAAACAGGACTAACGAAAGACGGGGAGAGTGTAGAAGGAGGCAAAATTTCGAGTGGGTGGAGCCGGTAGAGAGGAGACTGACGAAGTGGCAGAGAGGTGCCTGACGAGCTCAACCAAACGGGCTGCAGAGCAGGGGAAAACAGTGCCAACGAAAGAGACAGAAGCAGGACCACACCGAGATGAAGGATCAGGTGCAACGACTACAGCTGCCAACCAATCAACCAGCGCCACATCACCAGGGAGCCAATCCCCTCTCGCCACGTGGAGGACGACCACGTCCGACGTGGACACCGGGCTTCCGCCCTTAGTCTATATGGTTAATAACAAGGAATAGCATCAATAATTAGAAACAAAATAAAAAATAAAATGATATTATTCATCAAAGTTAATATCATCCATGTCATCATCTTCATCCAGTGTATATACACTAGGTAATTTTCTTCCAAAAGTTGATAATGGTTCCAGAATTTCCATCACATCACAGGCTCCAATCTACTGGTAACAATCTTTTTTTCTTTACCTTTCTTACTTAACCATTTATTTATATTTCAAATAAATTAATATCAAATTCACCCAATATCTCAATATAATAGATAGTAAATTAGTAATAAAGTTGAATATTAAAAAATTAAAAACTTAATTGATTAAGTTAAATCTTTTTTTTTCTTTTTTAAAGACAATTTGTGGGGCGTACGCTTTTAACACTCCACTTCAGAGGCGCGTCCAAACCCCTAGGCGTACGCCCTGGTCTCTTAGACGCATGCTCTAGAATACTATCGTCTTATGCGATCGCCCAAGGGCGGTATTGGAACCCTTCGCTCTGGGACTCGCCCCACGAATGTCTTTTAAAACATTGGGTTGGAGTCAGCAACTGCACTAAAGATTGGTTGTACTTGTAGGCTCTAGTTATGAGGTCTGCTGTACTCATTATGCTAATTACTTAATAGTTTCATTTTCATACCACTAATACCCACATGAGACACTTACGTGGCTCATATGGTAAAGATGGATCTTTTTTTTTTTTTATAAAAGATTGTGTGTTCGAATCCCACAATCGATGTGAAAGATGTGTTAATAAGTGATTGTAATAATGTAAGCGATCTATGATCCCATAAGAATGTAAGTAACTTATGATTTCGAAAACATGTTCTGACCGGTGATAATAATCAAAATCGAATCCACTCAAGACTAAAAAAAGAGACGCTCACAACTTCTGCAATGACAATTTTATTACTTAATCAAAACCTAAGAGAGGACCTAGTGCAGTTGGAGTTTGGTACTGTTCGGTCCAATTATTGTACTTCTTATATTATTTGATGTACAATTACATTACATTATTGTATTGAAAAAATTGCCAAATTGGTTCCTCACATTTTTAAAAAAAATAATTTTGATCTCTCACATTTAAAATTAGCCAAATTAGTCCCTAAAATATAAAAATGTCTGCCCTATTGGTCCTAGAGCTCATTTTCACTCACTTTTCCAGCGAAAAATCACACGCCCCTATCACGTGCCCATATTTTTAAGAGCAAAAACAAAAGCACACTTCGTTCTCTTTGTTAAACAAAAAAGGCAACCAAACCTAAACCACTTTTTCTCCCCCTTTCCTAATATAGGATTCAAAAGTATATGGGATTCCAATACCTCTAGTTTCAAGTGCAATTGTAGCTCCTATCCTCTTCTCAAGTTCTAGAGATGAAAATGAGGAAGGGGGAGAAAGGGTGGTTTGGATTTGGTGGCCATTTTTCATTTTAACAAATGGAACGAAATGTGTTTTCAGTTTTGCCCTAAAAAATATGGGCATATGACAGGGGTGTATAGTTTTTGACCAGAGAAGTGAGTGGAAATGAGTTTTAGGACCAATTGGGCAAACATTTTTATATGTTAGGGACTAATGTAGCTGATTTTAAATATGAGGGATCAATTTAGCAATTTTTCTATTATATTCGAAGTAAAAGTGGCGTACGTGAATAAAATATTTAACATATATTCAGTACAATATTATGATATATTCATACACCAAAACTTTGAACATGTACAATAACCGGACAAAATTGCACAAAATACAATTGTACTGAGTCCATGTTCATCAAAGCCCCTACAATTCCCAGATCGATCCCAACTCTTCATCCCCCATCGAATCTCTCTCTTTCTGTCGGGTAATAAAATTCTTACGGGGGATCATTGGCGGCTTATCTTTATGCTCCTGCAATGCCAGCTCTTTTTTCTTTTTTTTTTTTTTGGAGGGAAGGTACATTAATTTCAGATCCCATGCTGGACCGATCACCTTAGCCGTACAAATGAATTACATACTGCTCTTCTTTTTTTCTTTTTAAATTTGGGCTCTCCAAAAGAAAAAATCAAGAGGGCATTATATAATAAATTCAAATTAATCTTTGCTTGATTTATGGTGTAGACATTTCACACCCGGCATTATGCTGGAGCCACCTTGAAAGGACTCCAGTTTGCAGATGGAGAGCCATGGAAAAAGATCTTTGGACCTGTTTTGTGTATTTGAATTTTAATTCAGACAGCCGTAGGTCAATCACTCACTGGAAAGATGCAAAACAGAAGGTTAGTACATATTCTTGGCAAATCAAGTTTTTGACCCCCAAAACAATTTTGACAAGTCATTCTTAACATTTTTGTTCTGCAAATTAAGGATAACATATAGCCTATTTAATATGATTTTAGTCGGTAAAAGAAACACGGAAATGGCCATACGACTTCCCAGTATCAGATGATTATCCTCATGCTAATTAAAGGGCCACGTTTAGGGGTCATCTTGAAATCAACGACAGGTGCTTAATTTTCATGCCCCATTTTTTTTCTCTCTCTCTAAAAGCGTTTGATATATTTATCATTTTTCAGTTGCTTTCCAGAAGTGGATCAACTTTTTTCCCTTTTCCTCACAGACATAGGTATCAAAATAGAGTATGAAACTCAGGATAACTTTTTCATGTTGATTAGATACTTGGAACAATCACCTTTTCCTGCCGAAGCTGCATATGTGGGATTAGCTCCGCGAGGAGCTCCTCGGTCATGGCAACTGGATGCCAAGGTACATTATACATTTGCTTAAATACTTATAATTTGTTACTCTTTTGGTTTCTTTTTTACTAACTGTCACACTTTCCTTATACAGGCAAATTATTTGTTTGTCATGCATATTTCTCTTAACTTTTCTGTTGCTGATCTTAGGGTTATCAATTTTGGACTTGAACTGATGATGGTGGTCATTTCACCATAAGAGGCATTCGCCCAGGCCATTGCAACTTGTATGCTTGGGTACCTGGGATTATGGGTGATTATAAGTCTGAGTTAGATATTAACCTCAGACCAGGTAAACCACTAAATAAGCTTCCATTGTTTTCTTTTCTTCTTTTAAACTATAAGCGCTTAGTATGATAGTTTTACCAAGAACCAATTACTGACTTTTCAGGCCCACTAAATTAGATTTCATGTTCTTGGGAACTGAAAAATGAAACAAACTACGACTTCTAAAATCTCAAGAAATTAATTACCAAATTGCCTAGTATAGTATGCTAATTCCGTTTAAGTGTACATTTACTTTCATAAAAAGAATTATGTTTTGTGTACGCAAAGAAATGGGTTCTATTAATAATAAAAATGGTGCAGATTGAATTCGTATTTACGCCTCCTAGAAATGGTCCAAAATTTTGGGAAATTGGCATTCCTGACTGAGTTTTATGTACCTGATGGAAATCCACGACTCGAAAATCCTTTATTCATCAACCATCCTGAAAAGTCACCTCTCAATCCAAACTAATATTTGTAGTTGTAGACTTAGTGATCAGCAATGCAGAGTGCTCTGCATTCTCAATTGTAAGACAGATATTCAGCTATACAAATTTCGATTGATGCGTTTTTATCACGTTCTGTGTTTTACTGAGACTTTGTCCTTGATGCAAATTTTTAAAACAAAAATATTGTTACTTATTGTTATGAACAATTATTGTTGCATGACATTACAATCATTATTTCTAATCAATTTAACCGTTTCTTTCCTTGACAAAAATGCGTTTTCTGGTCCTAATTTTTTTTTCCCTTGGACAAGCCGTAGGGACTGGTTCTCTTGTATATATGTTCCCCCTTGGGCTTAGAGTTAAACATTCCTACATTAAAGTTCTATCCCAGCAATGTGTGTCATTGTGAGAGGAAAAGGTGTCACGTTTGAATCTGTCTTCCTCCACAAACGGATTCTTGCTACCTTCCACCGCATGATGATACTCGCAGTACTACCTCAGTCTGTGCCAATACATTTGTGCCGAAAACCTCTATCTTGGCGTAGTAAAGAATCTAAACAATAAGGAAGTAGACACCAAAGAAAATGGCCAAATCGCCAGAGACAGAGCACCCAATCAAAGCCTTCGGATGGGCTGCAAGGGACCATTCCGGTTCTCTTCCCCCTTTCAAGTTTTCAAGAAGGTAATACTACTATTAATGCAGTACTTGCTGGGATTTCACATTACCTACTGGAACATGATCATTTGTTGTCGTGTATTTGGTGGTAATAGAACTTTAATAGACTGGGATTGTTTGTGCAGGGCTACTGGAGATAATGATGTACAGTTCAAAGTTATGTACTGCGGAATATCTCATTCGGATATTCACATGATCAAGAATCAATGGGGCATGAGCAGCTACCCCATGATACCCGGGTGAAACACCAATTACACATTTTATAATGCAATTACGTTGTTAACAATGAACTAAGAAGCACAGAAAAACTGCATTAATCTCTTCATTTGTGGTTCTTTATCAAACAAGTTGATGCAGGCACGAAATTCTGGGCGTTATAACAGAGGTTGGTAAAAATGTGAAGAATTTCAAGGTCGGGGATAAAGTGGGCGTGGGATGCTAGGTTCAATCATGTCGGAAATGCGATAGCTGCAACAACAATTTGGAGATCTATTGCTCTGGACTAGTACTAACATACGGTGCCGAAAACACTGATGGAACCATCACCTATGGTGGCTACTCCAATATGATGGTGGTTTGTGACGAGCATTTTGTAGTTCGCTGGCCGGAGAATCTTCCGATGGATGCCGGTGCCCCTCTTCTATGTGCTGGAATCACAACTTACAGCCCCTTGAGAT